CCCCCCCCCACAGCCCCCCAACCTTCCCCCCCCCCCCTATACTCCCCTCTTCCCATTGCCCCCCTCCAACTCTATACATACACTACAGAATGGATCAGAACGGGTGTAACAGCAAAAAATGACTAGTGGATTATTACTGAAGATGTCCTAGATATGAACAAATATAGAGATGGTTGCTAAAAGAAAACGTTCAAAATTTGACAGGCCTGTTTAAAGCAAACACAATTAAAGTAATGTACTAGACCAGTTACACAACAATTAAGTAAAATTTAAGAAAAATTAAATAAAAAATTAGGGCATCACGTGGCGTCATGGTATAAGCCTTCCCGAGTTCGAGTCCGGTCGTCGGTGCCCCCTCCACGTGTCATTGCCCCCCTTCCTTTCGGCTTGCGTTCAAATAAAGGCCCGAGAGTCAAAAAAGAAACTTATTTAAAGAATAAATAACGCCAGGTAAAATTTCTTTTTAAGAAATGAAATAGGGGTGTCGTGTCGCGCTAGCTAGTGTGGGCGCCCCGTATGTAGAGGCTGTGGACCTCGACACGGCCGTCCCGAGTTCGACTCCCGTCCATTCCCCATTTCTGTCAGATTACTGCTAAATAAAGGCCACTACTGCCGATTTTTTTTTTTAAATTACTTTTTAAAGAAACTAACATTCATCAAGATAAAAAATAGTTCAGAAGTTTCCATTTAACTTTGAGAAAGAAAATTGACCGTATCATTGGTTTTAATCAAAGTCCAGCAGGTTAGTTAGGCCAAATATAGTCACTATCAGCTGTGGCAGCATGAGTGTGCAGTTTACCAGAGCCAGCCCTGGAGCTATCGCCAGCAGTGGTGACTGATGAAGCCTCAACAGCAGCAGCCTGGAGACCATTGAGAAAAGACGTCGTTTTCAATGTGACCTCAGCTCACCCACTCTCAGCAGCGGTTATCGAGAGCTCTCAGTGTCACAGCTGTACGAGAGGAGGAAGTGCAAAAATAAAGAAGAATAGGAGGGGGGAGATGGGGATGAAGCGAAGACAGGCGATGGGAGACTCTCAGAGAAGATGAATGGAAGACACAGAAGAATGATGATGATGGAAGTGAATGTTTTTCTGCTCCTCGTGTTGTCAGGTAAGTAAACTTACTCTCTCAGATTTGCTGATCACTACTTGTTTGAAATTGTTAAACACCACTTCCTGGTGGAGATCAATGAGGTGAATGTATCCTCCACTGGATGTTTCTGCCGTCTCTCAGCCGTCCCAGCATGGACCCAAGCCGTGCTGGATGTGTGCGCAACCTGCCACCCTAACGCCACATGTGAGGACAAGCCAGACGGCTCTGGAAAAGTCTGCAACTGCAACTACGGCTTTGTTGGAAATGGGAGAACCCACTGTCAAGGTAAGAAAAAATAAAAATACAGTCGATTTTTCAAATGTATTTATTGTCGTGTGAAACCGGATTATGTATTTTCCTCTTAATAAGCTTTTGTCTGCTAAGAAAATGTGTTTGCAATCAGATTTGCACGGAGCAGCTTTGGATCTAAAAGTGAATTGTCAAACATCTGATGATTATCTGTCCTTACTGTTCTCACAATTTATAAAACTTATTGTGTTAAAAATGTAGAATAAGTAGAAATGTGTAAATAAATAAACTTCTCTGAACCTTTGATTAATCTTTTAGGATAATATGGATTTATGGTTTTAGCCTCTATAATTTGAATGTTTTATATTAGCTCCATTCACGAACATGAGCTGACCTCACATCAGAAAGTAGCTCCTTGTACAAACATAAAGCTCTTCCAGTAGAAAATATTTATTAAGTTTGTTCACATCTTTGAAGCATGGTAATATCATAGTAATGTATAATGTTTGAATCCAGAAACACAAATTATTTCACAATGTTTTAGCCATAAAGCTGCCATATGTAACATTATTTTTAACATATTTGTTAGTGTTGTCACCATGTTGTTACAGTATAATATGAGACAGATAAATTGTGAAACAAATTGATTCCCTGAGCTTCGTTTGCTGAAGAAAGACACTGCTCCTGGTTAAAAACAGCCAATCAGAGCCAGGAGGCGGGTCTTAGCGCTGTCAATCACCTCATGTACTCAGCGGAAAAACAACTTACTGTTAAAAGTTACATACTGTAGTTTTAACTGTGAACATACAATCTTTTATGATTTGGACCAAAGAATAATTCATATAGTTTTTAAAATTTAAAATAAAGTATCTATCTATCTATCTATCTATCTATCTATCTATCTATCTATCTATCTATCTATCTATCTATCTATCTACCTATCTATCTATCTATCTATCTGGAATTTTATGTGTCACATTTTTACAAATAATGCATAATTGAGACTTTGAAGGAAAATAACTCAAATAATAATTGTATTTAATTCCATTTGCCTCCCAGTCTTCCCATATCCTGAAGGAAAGGGAAGCCCACAGGATGATCCTTCCCCCACCATGTTTGATCATTATGTGTTTAATGTTAGTTTAGTGTTAGTTTTCTCCATTTGTTGCTGTTGGGCCAAAAAGTTCAAATTCGGTCTCATCTGACTACAGCACCATTTTCCATGAAAAAAAAGGGAAACCTTGTCTTCTTCCAGATAAAGACGAGTGTCAGATAGGAGCCAGTAAGATCTGTGGGCAGCACACCACCTGCCACAACACGTATGGCAGCTACTACTGCACCTGCCTGTCTGGCTACAGGCCGTCTAACAACATGGCTGTCTTCATCCCAAACGACGGAACCCACTGCCGAGGTGAGCAGAGGCTGCAGCCGCACGAGAAACCACAGTGTAGGTCTGAATGAGTGGCTTTAATAGCTGAAAAAATGTTGCCTTTGCTTTTGTTTCTGCAGATATTGACGAGTGCAGGATCACAGGGCAATGTGGAGAGGGAGGTCAATGTAGAAACCTTGAGGGCAGCTTCGACTGCAGCTGTCAGATTGGATACAAAGTCCACAATGGAGCCGAGCCTTTTCGTCCGCAGAGAGGCGGAGCTGCCTGCAAAGGTAAACAGGAACTGATTCACAGTGCGTGGGACCATGATTCGTACTCCCTTGAGCTTTTTCATATTTAGTCACATTAAAACTGCAGACCTCCACAGATTCAATGTGATAGATCAGTGCAGAGGAAGTCCTATTTGAAGTTTCTTGTCTAAAATGTTGCTAAATAGAGCAAGAAAGTTACTGAGCTGGCAACATTGGGGTCACTATTATTAACTGTAAACTGTCTGTTCGAAATAAAATAAATAAATAAATAAACATGCAGACATGACCTGGTGGACCGGTCCATTGGTCAGGTGGACAGTGACTGATTTTTAGATCTTTGCTGAGGAAGATATCATCGACTTCACATGTAAATATCAGGCCGATCTGCTACAATTAAGGAAACTGGTGCCTATTTATTGGTGCACCCCTAGCTGGAGGATGACTCTACAGCAGGAAAACAACCTTAAATGTGGCAGAACTTAGTAATTGATGTCGATCATCTGATCCAACTGAACTTTGGTAATTCTGTCCTGAAACAAGGGTCAAAACCTCTATCACAGTTGTGCAAAAAGACTTGTAAGGTGTTACTGTAGTGAAGTGTGGCTCTACAAAATAACAGTTCTGAGTAGCTGAATTTGCAGTTATCTCCTGCTTGGTAAAATCAGGTTTTGCAGAGACAAAACGCGAGGAGAACCGTTCGAGCCGCGTCTCTGTCTTGCTAGCGTCGTTCTGAAAACTGATAAGGTTGAAACCAGGAAGTGAAGTTGTTCTTGGACCTCTCCCCTTCCCAGTGGTCGACTGTGGTCCGCCTGTCTTGGTGGAAGACTCGGTCCTCCTGTCCATCACAGTCACCACGTACGGTGGCGTTGCCAGGTTTGGCTGTGAGGAAGGCTTTGTATGGCGGAGGGGAGACAACAGCTCTGTGTGTGGAGCGGACGGATCGTGGAGCGAGTCCAGCCTGGTGTGTGAAGGTAAAACAGCTTCTGCTTTAGTCTAAAACTACACAAATCTGTTTTTTTCCCCACTTTAATACCGTACTCAGGTTATCACGCAGAAATCCAGAGCAATAATTACAAAACTACACTACAGGGACTAACAAAACCACAAACAGAGCAATATTTGTAAAGTCAAAGTCAGTTTACTGACATAGTGAAACTACAGACAGCTACAATTCTTTACAAAGACAACATTACAAGAAAACATACAACAATTGTATAAGACTAAAGAGAAAATGTAAAAGTTAAGGGGTAGAATCACAGTTTAAAATATGCTAATTCAGAACGACTAGAAAAAATTTTGTTTACACTGTAAAAAGGAACGTCTCTAATTTACGGTAAAATTCTGTCAACCACAGCTGCTGGTATTTTACCGTAAATTAGACTTTTTAATTTTTTTACAAAAAATGTGAATGTTACTGTTAATCTGTGTTGTTTTATTCTGTGTTGTGCATTAAAGGCCAGTCACATCAGCTGATGCAACTTTAAGAGGTTTTTTCTAAATAAACTCTAGGTGAATATGTGCAATAATACTGTAAATATGGCCTAATATTACAGTCCATGAAGATAAACAGTAGTCAGTCCTGGGTCATCAGTGACTCAATCGTTACCTGTTGCATCAGGCAAGCAAACTAGAACACTGTGTGAAAATACTCACTCCTTCCTCTTTATGTCAAGTGAAGTTTGTGCAATTTTTTAAGCACACAAATTTAAGCCTGTTGTTTTGTAATGTAACCCAAAAGCTGGAAACTGTCAAAAAATATGCAATAAAATTCACAAAATACTCACAGGTCTGTTCTGAAAGACTCTCTACCAGAACTACTCTTCTGTCTGAGGAAACGGCCATCAGATGAGGGAGGAGTTTAGCAAGCATATGCTCAGATTCCTCTTCTTAAATTGCAACATTTAATTCTGCATGAAATCTGACAGTTAAAGAGTCATTTAAAAAGGAAGTTTGAGCGAACGCAACGAGAAGCGTGTTTTCTTTCTGTGGGTCTCTCATGTCAATCAATCAGTTCAGATTCTGCGCCTAGAGAACCGTTCATACTGCTAAATGCAACACAGATGTTAGAACAAATGACAATCACACCAGAAAATACGAGGTAAATAATAATAATTATTATTATTATAGTTATAATAATAATAATAACCTGATGTGAGACATAAAGCTAAGGAAATATATTTGTGTTTGTAATGAAGAAAGTCTAGAAACAAGATATAAACATAAAAAACACAGGATAATCAGTGAAGGTGATGCAGAATTGTTTTTTATGATGAAAGAAAAACATTTAAAAATAAGATAAAGATTAATAGTATCAAAGGAATTAAGTTTAAATTAAACAGTGTAACATAATCATACAAAATTAGTACTTATTATAAATAAAATTAAATGAAGCTCAACTAATATTTTGACCATGTTATAATTCTTAGACAAAAACTGGGACCTGAGTCGGTAGGAACAACCATAGAACATGTTCCTTTATTTCAACGTGTTTTATGTTCGGGGTGATGAAAAAATTCACATCAAATCAACTCATCAACAAATCAACAAACCTACTTTATATGTTTACACATATAGAGTATGAATAACATCAGTTTAAAACGTTCATTGATCCTGGTTCTGGATGAAATGTAGTCTCTCTCTCTCTGTGTTGTTTGTCTTAGCTCCCCTCACTGTCTGGTCAGGGCTCTTTGTCAGCCATATTGCAGTTCTGCTCTGTATTTATCATTGCAGTGTTAATACCTCTGGTAAATGTTCTCCCCATAGAGATCTTGTGTGGGAATCCTCCTTTGATTGAATTCACAGAGCAGGTGTGGAGCAGCAGTTCGTCCCCCGGCAGCACAGTGCTGTACCTCTGTACAGAGGGCTTTCATAGTAACGGAGGGCATAATGTTTCAGTCTGTGGTAAAAACGGACAGTGGACATCTCCAACTTTGTCATGCCAAGGTAACACACAAAATTAGTAAATTGATTTCCTTATTTCAGAATCTTTAGTTTCCAGTCTTTTTGACTGTGGATGTTTTGCTGTGGCCTGAAAAACAAAGCTAGCAAATCTTATCTTAGTTAACATCAAACATTTGGTTAAAGGGAAGTTTTGATTATGCTCAGGTTATTCCTGGAAATTTTGGGGGGCAAACAGTCTGAACATCTAGTTGGTTGTTTTTTATTTTGCATTTCAGTTCCATCAAGAATAACTAGTAAAAAAAAAAAAAAAAGATAAGTTATTGGAGCATTTGTTCAAATCCTATCAACAAAGAAACAAAACATACCAATTCATTATTTAAGAAAATCAATCTTTCTCATTAGTGCACATGAGAACTATATATAGTCACAACTTTTAGCTCTACACTGACTTAGAGCTAAATATTTAGTTTGGAGCTAAAATGTTAGTTTGCTCACTAGATATTTCATTAATATTTTGGTTCTAAAATAGACATTTAGCTCATGAAATATTTATAAATGAAAGAATAACATTGTGATAATATGGCCTTGGAAAATGAAGCCCCCATTCTTTTCCACCAGCTAAATAACCTGATTTACTGCTGCTAATTTTTGACTAATTTCACAAACACACGGCCTGGTGTCCCATACATTTCCAACTGTACAAGAGTTTTTGCCATGAAGCAGTGTAACAACAGATCAGCTTTACTTTTTCCCAATATGTCTTCTTAAAATAAAATGTATTTTTTCGTTTTGCTGATATGTTTGTGTGCTATAAATGTGCATCATTTCCTGCCTCAGAGACTCTGTGTGGAGATCCACCTGTGGTGCCCCACACTGTGCAGGTGTGGGACGGCAGCTTCACCCCTGGAAGCACAGCAGCTTATTACTGTAACCTAGGATTTTATCATCATGAAGGTAGCAATGTGTCAGTGTGTGCAGATAACGGTTACTGGACAGTGCCTGGCATTCTCTGCAAAGGTAATATTTTTCTCAAAAAGGCTCATTTTGTTGCCCTACATGTGGATCGTTCCCCCCCTCCACCTCTCTCTCTCTGCTAAATAATTAATGTCCATCTCTGTAGAGGTTGACTGTGGAGAGCCCACATCCATCCCTCACGCTATAATGGAGTGGGATAACATTTCCACTGTGGGCTCTAAGGTTGTTTATAGGTGTGACCGTGGATTTGTCAATGTTGACGAAGGAAATGTATCAGTTTGCACAGCCAGTGGAGGATGGGACGCGCCCTCTCTGTCCTGCCAAGGTGATACTAATATGTTCATTAGTTATTAGTGCACAGCAAACCATTTGAAAACCTTGTTTTTCAGATTTGTGACTTGTGCAAAATAGCATTTGTGTTTAAAGTGACTTGCAAAAAAAAGTATGTTTGTATTTTGCTGAGATTTTATGCGACAGACCAAGATAAAGTAGAACATTATTTATAACTGAAGGAAAATTATCACAACTGAAATAAATGAGAGTAATTAATGGGAAGAAAGTATAACAAACTGGAATTATATTGTGCGTTTATAAAACTAAAATATACTAAAAGCATAGATGTAATATCCTTCATTTTTGTGTTTATGAATCTATTTAGTAGCTTTTCAAACTGATGTGAAATAGATTTTTTTTCCCACACACAAGCAGTTTACATCAGCTGTTGACAAATTACGGTGCTGCTGCTGCTGGAGCTCAGTCCACAAAACGGCGACAGCAAAAGTTGGGAGAAAACACCAGAGTCAGTTGGTTGTTCAACATTAATTGAATATATTTTTTGAAAGTAGTATCTTCTGTTGAGTATTCATTTTAATATGCACATAATCACAATACAGTACTTTGATTTGTTTAAATTCTGCACCTAAAAATGAACCAAAGTATGAAAAAACTTAAACTATTACTATTACTAATAGAAGCTGAACTAAAACTAAAAGAATATTTAACTGGTAATAACAAATATAAACTTGCAAACACTCTATAAAAGCTAATTAAAACTAAATGAATTAAACAAAATTTCACAATGAAATAAAACTAAACTATAATTTAAAAAAAAAACTATTGTTTTGGTCTATCACAGAAAATCACAGCAACAAGCAAAGGAGTTCAAGGGCTGTGAATAATTTTGTAAACACCATATGTCCAGTTTCCAGTGCGCTCTGTTCACCGTCTGTCTTCCTGTTGTAGAAATCAGCTGCAGGAACCCTCCTGTAATAGAGCACGCTAACATGCAGTGGGATGGGACGCCACACGGTGGCGCTGTGGTGTATTACCAATGTGAGGAAGGATATTACACCCGAGGCCTGAGAAACTACTCGGAGTGTGGAGAGAATGGATTATGGGAGGATGTTGATCTGTCGTGTGAAGGTGCAACATTTTATGACCCGAGAAAGCTGCTGGTTTAGTTTCACTTTGGACTCTTGGTAACAATTTAGAGCACAAATGATGGCAAGTTTAGCAAAGACTGCATGACAGTCTTTATTTGCTTTAATGTTTATCCATAAATCACTGTAATGTAATCTGATAAATGTTTGTTCATTCTTTTGTAAATGTTTTATCTTGTTGGACAGTTGTTGCTCCAAGTTGGCTGTGAAATTAAATTTGCAAAGGCTTTGTTAGACCTGAAAATTTGGGGCTAAAGCTCCAGCTGAGCTTCGGATTGTGTTCGACATAGATATATATACGTATGTAAATTTTATTTAAATTTTTTTTTTTTTTTTACATATTTGTTGAGATCACCACTGTCATACTCTACAAATTATCAGTAGAGTGCGAGACTGATGATCTGTGAAAAAATCAAGCCCCTCTGCCTTCTCCCAGTGCTCCCAGTCAGTGGTAACTGGAAACAACCAATCAGAGCTGGGAGGAGGGTCTTCTCAGTGCTGTCAATCATGAGTGTGTATTGCCTGGCTGTTTTTCCTGTGTCTCCGTGTTGATCTATGACAGAGTGGCTATCTGTCCAGAGTGAACCCCACCTCAAGCAAAAAGTGATGAAAAAAAAATGATAAAAAAAAAAAAAATCACTATCGCTGCAATTCTCCCAAAGTTTCAGGATCCTAACAATGCCTCTGTTTATTTATAAATAAGTAAACTAAAAAAAAATATTCTCCACAACAATTTTCTTAAAGATGTATGAACTGCATCAGTATGTTTCTACTGTAAATATCAGACGTCCAGCTGCTAGTGCTTTGCACTGACTGTCTGTCTTCCTGTTGTAGAAATCAGCTGCAGGAACCCTCCTGTAATAGAGCACGCTAACATGCAGTGGGATGGGACGCCACATGGTGGCGCTGTGGTGTATTACCAATGTGAGGAAGGATATTACACCCGAGGCCTGAGAAACTACTCGGAGTGTGGAGAGAATGGATTATGGGAGGATGTTGATCTGTCGTGTGAAGGTGCAACATTTTATGACCCGAGAAAGCTGCTGGTTTAGTTTCCGTGTTGGAGACCAAGCAATTTGTGCCCTAAAAGATAAAAGCATGTTTATGTTATGTGAAGAGTGTTAAAACATTAAGGTTGTTGATTTTGTAGGAGTTGGTGTAATTTATTTTTTAAAAAGCACTTAAAAAAATCTATTCAAGAAGTGAAACTGCAATAGTTGAATCTTAATTGTACTGTTATTTATTTCGACGCACCTGTACATGAAACTGAATTTCCTGCAGCCTAATGAAGCAACAAATTAACTCTTCCTTCATGTTTATTTAGCTGATTGTGTGCTAGCAGTGGTGACCTGTTGCACCAGGTCCATGCTAAATTCTTATCTGTACACAGAAGTAAACTGCGGCCCCCCGAAATGTCTCCCCAACACTAACCTGCTGTGGGACGGCAGCAGCACACCGGGCAGCGTGGCGCGGTGCGAGTGTGTGGACGGGTTTTACCAAGAGAGTGGAAACGATTTGTCAACATGTTCTCTGTCAGGAGTGTGGGGGGAAGTATCTGTAAAATGCAAAGGTAGGGCGACATCTCTTATGCCTGGTTGTTGCCCCCTTTTTGATCTCCTTGCACGTTTCTCAAGCACGCTGATACCTAGTGTCTGTCACATGTCTGACCTCTAATCCTGCACGCTCCGGGTGTTAGACGAGGGGAGTTAAGAAACTGCATGCGATTTTCTTTTCCGTCCACAACGGCTTGCAGCGATCACCAGCCACCAGCACAGCGGGACGCCTGGGTGTTTGTCAGATACGTGTTACTTAAGCGACATCGTTTCGGGTCTCCTTTGGGTGCCTGCTGAAAACAAATGCTTCCTTCCCAGTGTGTGTTGAGTGATGCCATTTCTGAGCGAGTCTTTGTGTTCTGTTTCTCCAGCTAAATGCGGCCCCGTTCCCTTCCTGGCCCACTCGGAGGTGGTGTGGCACAACAGAAGTGTTGTGATTCATCGCTGTGTGGCGGGATATCACAGCTGGAGGGGCGTCAACGCCTCCGTGTGCAGCGGCTCCGGACTGTGGCTGAGAGCTACTCTCAACTGTATCGGTGAGTTTAAAAGTAGCAGCGCTCGGACGCTACAGTGTTTCAATCATTGGTCACTGTATATAAAGCAGGAAAAATAAAATGCATCGTTGTTTATCTCTTTTTAAAGGGGCAGCATTACGTAAAATTAACTGTTTTGAACTTTGCATCATGTTATGTTATTCTCTTGTCAAAAACATACCGGTAGTGTTCCTTCGATTCTTTTATGCGTGTTTGAGAAATCTCCCCCACTCAGCTCCTTCAGACTAGCCAGCAGCAATTAGCAAACACCTGGTGGAACTGAATATCCAGAGTGTTGAAAAGACCAGGAGCTTCTTAAAGAGACAGAGACCCAATTTCAATTGCAAAGTCACTTTTCTTTTAAGGCATGCTTGATGGATGCATACAAATTTTTGTAACAACTGGAGGTAACACAGTCACTTGATTGTGCTATAAAATGACACTTGGTGGCTGGAATATACATAATACTGCCCTTTTAAAAAGTTCTGTGTTCCAGTGATTTAACCAAACATTAATTTATAGACTAAATTACTTTGATTTCTTTGTTCTTTGTGTATGCACTGCAAAAATGCAAAATCTCTACCAAGTATTTTTGGATTAGTTTAGCGCAAATATCTCAATACATTTAAAATAAGACAAAATTAACTTACAAGTAACCCCTTACCAAAATACAGGAGCTTGTTTTAAGTCAATCATTTTAAAAAATATTAGTTTCACTTGGTCTGCTTAATATTTATTGTACTCAATGAATATGTGCTATAGCACAGAATTAATTATCAAACATTAAAAATTAAACACTGGACATGCTGAAACAAGAGCTTCTCACAGCAACTACTAATATGTGATGCAGAAATCAAGCCGCCTGTTAACCAGCTGACACTTTACAATGGAAACTGTTTGAAGTGGAAGGCAGAGAAGTTTGAGGAAGATACAGAACTTTACAAGGTAAGATACGTTTCCTATTTTTTTGTTTTTTTTTACCGAATCAACAGTGAACTTTGACTGAATGTGTGGGTTTGATTATTTCAGGTGGTTTATTTGGGATCCAGAGACTACCAGAGGTCGTTTCTAGACAAAGGACGACGTCAGCTGAGCTCCAAAGGCGATCGGCTGATAATCTGCCTGCGGCTGCTTCCATTAACAAACTACAGCATTTCCATTACTGCAGTAGCTGCCAGATTCACAGCCACCATCACAGCCAACACCAGTTTAACAGGTAGCACAGAAACTCCAGTTTAAAGAAAGAGGGATAGTGAATATTTAATACTAATTATAGAATATTTACTGTAGTCTTCTTCATATTTACTGGTGAACATAACAATAAATGTACCTCTGTTTCTAAAAGTACCTCCAGCACCAGTTGTACACTACACAGAACTGGAGACCCCAGTTCCAACGCTGAGGCTGAAAAGATCTCCCAACACTCTGGATCCCATCAGGTGACCAACGCCCTCCATGCAAACATTCACCATGTCTAACATTCACAAGGGAGGAAGGAGCTTTTTCATGACAAGCTTCACACTGGATGTGAGGAAACTCTGCCTTGGAAACATGATTTGATCATTTCTCATTTTGCAACCACAAGCATCAAAGAAATCCGGTAGAGATTTAACGTGACAGACTCAAAGCGGTGCAGCTTTGTGAAGTGGAAAGAAAATGGCAGAAAATGGTTTTCAATGTTTTAGAGAAAAAAAATTGAAAACTGAGGTTTGGAATTGTGTTAATAGTTTGTAGAACCACATGCAGTGGTTGAAATTATTTTACACTCAATGTCTCACACATGCTGACCAGGCTTATAATAGTTTTGGTTTTTACATTATAGCTTAGTTTTTGTTGATTTAATTCAGTTAGTTTTAATTAGTCTTTAGAGTGTGTTTGGTTTATTTTTAGGTGCAGAATTTAAGTACTGTATTATGATTTTGTACACAAAACAGAAGATACTATTTTTTAAAATATATTCAATTATTGTTGAACAACCAACTGACTCTGGCTTTTTCTCCCAATTTTTACTGTCGCCATTTTGTGGACTAATATAAGCACCGCCAGGAGGAATACACAGTTCTGTATTTTGCCAACAGCTCACAACTTATTGTGTGGGGAAAAAAAACTATTTCACATCATTTTTAAAGGCTAATAAATGCTTTCATAAGCACACAAACAAATGATATTAAATGTACATTTTCAGTATGTTTTAGTTAGTTTTATAAAGGCATGATATAGTTTCAGTTAATTGTAGTTTTTCCCCATTAATTTGTGTTTTATTTATTTTAGTTAATGAAAATTTCAGTTTTTCTAATTTCGGTTCATTTTAATTAACTGTAATAACCTTGGTGCTGCCATGCTGAAATTATTAATAATACTTAAATTGCTAACACTTACATTCAACAAATATGGTTTTTACAAACTACATTATGTGGTAGGATACAAGCAAACACACCAAAGAAAAAATCTTCTCAGTTGCTCGGATCATGTAGAATGACATCTGAATGTGTGAGGAAAACAGGAGTTTGCTAACAACCTACAAACCCAACAGGATGACAGCAAACAATGAAGATAAAACTTTCCTCTTTGTGTTTTTGTTTTTGACAGCTTCTACCAAATCTTTGTGCTTCCTGTGGAGGAGCTTGTGGTGTTTGACTGCTCCTCTCCCGCCAGCCTCGACCCCTCAAGCAGAGCAGAGTCACCAGCTGAGTACCTGACCGCCCAGCTTGGTGTGCAGAGCCTTGGAGCAGAGGTCAACTTCACGGTGGGGGACGGAGTCCTCTATGGGGGCTTCTACAACGCACCGCTGCAGAGCGGTAACACCTACTTCATTGTCCTTCGGGTTGTCAGTCGGTGGAAAACGGTGAGTTAAAATCCGCTCTGATACAAAGGAGTAACGGCAAAGCAATGCTGTGGAGGGTGCAGCAGATTTAACCCGAGTGTTTCCTCTCCCAGATGTCGAGAAGTTGCTGCGTCCTTTGGGCTAAAGTTGCAGGTGCTTCAGAATTGCACAAAAATTACAGAGATAAGTTGATATCACTCAATGAAAAGCTTTTTTTTTTTTTTCTTCCCAGGTACATCTTACATCCTGAGGGTGTCGTCGCTGTGTGCTGCTGCCTCTATAGCAGCGGTTGCCATGGTTTTATTGGCGGCATACAGATTGTCCTGGTATGAGCGAGACGTTACGCTTTTATCAATGCTGTTTTTCACTAAATCAACTTAGAATAAAACGAGTACACTTAAAAATAAATTAGAAAAAGGCACCAATACATTTAAAGTGGCAGTATTATGTAATATTGACTGTTTTTTTTTAGCTTTACATCATGGTATGTTAATACTTCATGTAAAACATACCTGGAGGTTTGCTTTGATTCATTCATGGCAACCAGAAGAAGAACAAGAATTTTCCATTTATGGTTTTTTGTTTTTGCAGAGTGTGTGTTTAGAGGCTTAACCTCTTAACTGGTGTCAGTGTTTGGATGTGAAAAGTCTAGTCATTTTCTAACTCTAAATGGGATAAGTTCTTATATTGATTCATCATCTTGTAAATAAATGAAAAACATTGGACTGAAATCAACATTTACTGGGTTTTGTATAGTTGGAGATTAACTGCAGAAAACCCTTCAAATTTCTCCTGAAACATTCCAGTTTGGTTAAATGACTTATCTTTTTTTTTTTTTCCCCAGAATAATTTTGCCATATAGAAAGAATGCACCTTTTAGTTCTAATAAAAAAAATGAATGTATAGAAACTGTATTTAGGACTTAATTTTATTCTATGTTTTCTTTCAGGTGTGTGAACAGGACGCAACCATTCTCAGCCCCGCTCGCTTCAGTCCATAGTGACAAATATAATGACTCCAAACTGTATATTCTGTAAATACTTACGTCACATATAATCATTTACATCCCTCCAAATGAATAAACATATGTTTTCCACCATCTACTGGATTAGGCCTAGGAATGTGATCATTCTCTGTCTGCTGTGTTGCTATTGTTTAGACAAAGAACATGCTCTTTGTTCTGCTTTTTAATCACAAAATGTTTTTGAAAACTGCTTCCTCTTCACAATTATCCAGTACTGTTAACAGAAACCTCCCAATAAAACACTCTGGGGTTTGTGGTTGTGACATGAAAAAGTGACAAAAACTTAAAGACCTGGTCATATTTTTACAAAATATTGTGCACTGCATTGTAGAGAACTGCAGCAACCAAAAATATATAAATTATTAATGTTTTATGGAAGACAATCTTTCAAAAAAAAAGAAAAAGAAAAAAAAATAATGTTAACGTGTGACTTTTTTATGGGTTTTGCGTTGAATCCTCAAACGGGCTGACTTGGCATTAAAAAAAATGGTCCACAGGTACTGGGCCTTTAATTGTTTTGCATCCGGAGCAGCTCCCTCTTTTCCACAGGCAGACACAGGCCAGGATCCTGCCGACAACAAGCCAGCTATATCTGGTGCGTTAACAAGTAAGTAACAGGAACACGGCGCTCCATTACTGCTAGAACCTGAATTAAAGAAGGGATGAATTCGTTGTACGCAAAGATTGCGCAAGTTATCTGAGCGGTTAGCTGAAAAGCTACTGAGTAGGCCGTTGCCACGACGCTTTTTGAGGATTATAGTCATGTAGCTACACTTTGAACGCATGGTTACTTGGAAAATGGGTCATTTTTCTACCACTGTGACCGGAAATGTACTCGGCACCCCGTTTTCCTAAATAGGGGATGTGCACGAGCGTTCCGTTAGCCAGACTGATGAGCTAATTTTCCACGGACATGGAAATTTGCTCACAAATGAACAATTTTACAGAAATAACATGTTCAGCTGCAAGCCACAAGCTATTAACAATAAAGTAACTGCGGTACTAATTAACTCATTTTTGTAGTTCAGTACAATAAAGCCGTTGGCTGTTGGCTCTGTTCACAGATATTTAATAGTATGTTTATGTCTGTGGCTACTTCTCATAGTGATGGGAATTGCGGTTGTTTTTCGAGATCCTGACCACTTGGCTCATCCCCCCAAAAGAACCGACTCTTTCTTAGCTCCTAAACAGCTCTTCATCATTACTATTGCGGCAGTACCATGGCTAGATAAACTGATAAATTGGTAGTTTATTAACAATGAAAGGCAATTATTTTAAAGCAGTGCTAAACAAACAGCACAGTTTAGAAAGCGAGTGTAAACAAGAGGAGAACCTGAAATTTCCAGCTGGCTCCATGGTAAAAATCAGAGAACATATAAATTCAGTCTTCAGATCGCTAAGGTGTGTGCACCAGGGGTGAAAGAAGGTGGGTACTAATCAGCCGTGACTGATTAGTTTTTCAAGAACAATCTAAAACACGACTTAATCAGTTAATAAATAACTTTTTTCCCGTTTCATATTGTTTCTGAACTCTTACTGCTTTACTACAGTGCAACACGTCGATCGCGAAAGGTTTTGAGTCGATCTCGG